GACTGGGTTTCTAGATGAAACACACTGCTTTCCTTCATGTGTGCTTTTGCTTCTCTTTAAAACTCACTGTTGGTTCAGCTCGAGTCAGGATGACAGAACGCCAGCGTTGGGTTGGCCTGGTGGACGCTGTCCAGTCTGTGTACAAGCGCAGACTTTGGTTCACGAGGCAGACGGGTTAGTGGTGGTTTGGAGCCCCTCCAGGGTTGAACTGATTTTATTTCTTGATGAATTTCTTGGTGGAGGGTTCGATGTGCTCAGGATCGACGTCTCTGCTTTTTCCTTATGATGTGGTTCTGTTGGCTTCATCGAGGCTCCACCAGCAGCTCGCACTGCTGTAACCGTAACTCCACACTTTTCTCAGGGGGAGAGGGACTGATGCAGTGATGCAGAGCTGAGTGTGAAAGCATATCTGTGGGTACACCTGCTGTTCTACGCTCCACGGTCACCTGTGACCACGAGCTGTGGGTTTGGGACCAAAACAGGTCGCAGATATGAGCTTCTGGGCTCAGCATTAAAATCACAGTTCGTGTCTCTGTGAGCGACGACTGCGTTACGTGTCACATCTGTCACATCCACTCATGTTTTTCTCCTTTGAGTCATTCTGTGTGCTGATTGGGTCAAGAAAGGGACTTCCTGCTTTTATGTCAGAGCTGATGATGTCGTTTACATGTGTGAAGCTTCACGAGCAGCTCGCCGCTCCTCTGCTCAGCTGCGGTGCTACGATGTCTCTGTCAGGTAGATTTAAGTTCGACTTGATGTAGCAGAAGCAGCTTTTCAGCTCTTTTAAGAACAGCTGTGGTTGTTTTGTTTTCTTTGGCGTGTGTGTGATGTTTTAGTGCGTGTGCGTGATGTTTTAGTGCGTGTGCGTGATGTTTTTGTGCGTGTGTGTGATGTTTTAGTGCGTGTGTAGCTTCGGGTGCTTCAGGTTTCGTGTGATGCTGACTGATTTATAGATTTTGACTCCATAAACTCGACAGACTGCACGAGTCGACTCTGTTAGCTGCTTTAACGCCGCACGCACATATCAGGCTCTGCACGCCACCTTAGCCCCACACACGCTACAGGCCTACACACACACTTTCATCAACACACACACACACACAGACACAACAAAGACAGCTCACTCTCAGAGCAGATAGTAATCAGTCCTGACAGATGTGATTTGTCCCTCCTGCTCGCAGTGATGAGTGTTTCTCAGAGCAGCAGCCAATCAGGAGACGTGACTGACAGATAACAGCTGCTCAGCTTCAGCCAATCAGCCCTGTTTTCTTTAACTAAATGAAACAATCGAGGAGAAGTGACACCAGAGCTGTCAGAGATGCTCTGCAGCCTCCGCATGACATCAGCCGGTCTTCATCCTGCCAAAGACTGCGTGATGTCAGATGGTGCCGATGTGCCGTCATCTCGTGCACTCACCGTTAATGATTGGACGTCGTATTCTTACCTTCTGCATGATTATCAGCAGAGTTTCCTGTAGCACACGTCTGCTCGACGCTGTGAGACACACTTTACTGTGTAACATTTCACACTCGCAGCTTTTAACAGAAGAACGTGTGAAACATGTTTTTCTGTCTAACAATGTTGCAAAAACAGTGACGCTG